GCATCACGTTATAGGTGCTTCATCAAAGATTTCTACACTATATAGCAGCATCCATGATTGATTCTTTAAAGAAAGGCAGGTTTATATGGAGTAAAGAAGCCGAGAGGAGCTTTCAGCTTCTTTAGGTGAAGCTCTGTACAAGACCAGTGTTAGCTATGCCATGTTTTGAGAAATTGTTTGAGGGTGGACTATGATGCATCAGGTATTGGTGTAGGAGCAATTCTTAACCAAGAAGGAAGGTCCATTTCTTATTAGAGTGAAAAACTTAGTGAAACATGAAGGAGGTACAACACTTATGACCATGAGTTATATGCAGTGGTGGAAGTGCTTTGGCATTGGAGGTATTACCTAATCCAATGTTCCTTCGTTCTTTATTCGGATCATGAAGCCTTGAGACATATAACTAGTGGCTGTCAACATGGTAGATGGGTGAATTTTATACAGGAGTTAACTTGTGTCAAAGTACAAGTCAGGAGTGAAAAACAAGGTGACAAATGCACTTGGTAGAAGAGAGCAATGTTACTGTCTACAATGACAACTAAGGTGATTGGGTTTGCCTCTATTAATGAATTGTACCCCACAGACCCCGACTTTGCTCAAATTTGGAAGGTTTATACTAATGGGGTGCAAGATGTATATGTTCTGGATAGTTGTTTTTTCTTTAAGGGAAGTTGCTTGTGTGTTACCCAATCTCCTCCTCGAGAAGCCAACATATCAGGTTTACATAGAGGTGAACCAGGAGGACATTTTGTGAGAGATAAGACCTATGCACTTGTGGAAGACACGAATTTCTGGCCAAACAGCACTATGGGAAGATATAAGCATGGCGAAACAGCACTATGGGGAGATGTAAGCCATTTTATGAAATGGCACATTTTATAAGCTGTAAGAAGACAACTAATACTTCTAACATTGCTAATGTGTACTTCCAACATCCAAGAAGTGGTTCATAAGTTGATTATTTCCGATAGGGTGCAAGATGTAAGAAGACAACTAATACTTCTAACATTGCTAATGGGGTGCAAGATGTATATGTTCTGGATAGTTGTTTTTTCTTTAAGGGAAGTTGCTTGTGTGTTACCCAATCTCCTCCTCGAGAAGCCAACATATCAGGTTTACATAGAGGTGAACCAGGAGGACATTTTGTGAGAGATAAGACCTATGCACTTGTGGAAGACACGAATTTCTGGCCAAACAGCACTATGGGAAGATACATGGCGAAACAGCACTATGGGGAGATGTAAGCCATTTTATGAAATGGCACATTTTATAAGCTGTAAGAAGACAACTAATACTTCTAACATTGCTAATGTGTACTTCCAACATCCAAGAAGTGGTTCATAAGTTGATTATTTCCGATAGGGATTTGAAATTTCTTTTTTTTTTATCAGCAAATAAAACATTTTTAAAACATTTATTTATTCATTAGTTACTGATTAAAGTACAAGAATTTAGAGTTTCAGCAATATAGTGATCCAGGTTACAAATAAATTACAGCTTTGCCCAGAATAAAGTAAATTTTGTTTGCTCCTTGTTTTTCTATAACATTTGACAATCCATTTGCTTCCTTTTTATTCATCTGAAACTAGAATTAAACCTCTTTGCAAGTAGGTCAATTTCTCTGAAGACAAATCTGAACTTGCAAGATGCTGAACTGATTTGCTATGACCAGGAGTGAATCTCCCTCAATTTCTATTTCTGTTGTTCCAATTTGTTCGGCCAATTTCAAACCTTGTATGAGAGCCATAATTGAGTGCCCAAAGCTGATTGTTCCTGAGAATAGTGCCACTACTTCTCCTTGATGATTTCTAAACAGTCCCCCTATACCTGCTCTCCCCGGATTACCAAAGGAACTCCCATCAAAGTTCAGTTTTAGTTTATTTGTTGCTAGTGGTTTCCAATCATTCCATTCTTACACTTCCTCTATGTAATTCTGTTTGTACCACTTCAGTTCAATTCCTTAGAGTGTCATTTATAGAGATATGGCTGAAGAGTTTCAAAATTTTAAACCAATGTGCAGATTTGTTTTTTATAGTTTCAATCACTTCCTCCATTGACTTGCTTTTTTCATTGAAAATTCTTTGGTTTCTTCCTACCCAGATAGTCTACACCACGGGGAAATTAGAGCTGAATAGACTCATTACATCCTGGGGGGGGTGCTATTTTCAACCAAAGAAAGAGGAGAAAGAAGTATTCTCAAATACAAGACACAAAGGAGCAGGGGACTGGTAAGTGGGGGAGGGTTTCATCACAAGCCTTACAAAGGACACACACATGAGGAGAGGCATTTATTTGGTCTTCTTTTCTGTAGCACTTCCAACAAAAGTCTTGTGCTTTAGGAGGGATTGATTTACACCAGATTTCTCTCACAGGAAAGCTCAACCTCAATGTTTTTGAATGGGTTAGAAAACTAAAGGAGGCACAGGAAAACAAGACATCATGGGCTGGGAACCAGATTAATTGTCATAAACATTTTGGCCCAAGTAAACCTTCTCCAAAATTGAAAGCAAGAGAAGTAGGGAATCACATTCATTATCCCTTAGACCCCTTCTGAATCCAAAATCCCAAGTTAGGCCCAAAATCCCAAGTAGGGAATCACATTCAAGTTCCTTTCCTATTTTTGAGTTTTTTAAGAAATTTGGGACTAAATTGCAATATAGTTCTTCTCACCATCTCCAAATTGATGACCAAATAGGAGTGGTAAATAGGAGTTTGAGAAATCTATTGCAATGTTTGGTAGTAGATGTAAACCAGAACAGCAAGAAACCTAGGGTTTAATCAAGAAAACAAGCAGAAAAATAGAGAAGTGTGTATCAATAGAGAAGAGAGAAAAGGAGAGAATAAGGTTGTACATGGATAGTGAGAAGTGCTAATGCACTGGCAGATGGTCTAGCTAGGCAAGGGGTGAACAGAACTCTATGTTTTGGGCTGTTTTGTAATTGCTCCATGATTTGGGGTTTATAAGGTATTTGGTTGTTAAGATTCTTTAGCTCCTTACCTTGTAATTCTGGTTTTCCAAACTATTAATAAAATCCACTGTTATTGATCAAAAAAAAAAAAAAGAAAAGGAGAGAATAGGGTTTTGGGAGAAGAGGATCAAACTGTCTCCCAGCCCCCTTAATCGTATTTTTTAACTCTAATCATAATTTACAGTATAATTACAAGGTTGCCCTTAGTAGGGTGGCTTTACTAATAAACACTTAAAAGAGAGCTAATAAACTTAGGCCCATAAACATAAAAGATAGAGATAAGAAAAGAAGATTATGGCCCAATAGCTAACAGTAGATCATGCAAAATCATGAGAGGTTATATTACTTAGGATGAATTTGCTTTTAAGTCAAACCACAGGTAGGAGTCCTTTTAAGGTTGTTTATGGAAGGCAGTCTACACATTTTCTATATAAGGTTCCTCTTTCCCAATCTAGAAAATACAGTGTTCAAATAGAAAAGATAACAGATCAGATGTCAAAGCTTCATAAAGCCATCTATTTGAAGATAGGAGAATTTAATGCAAGGTAAGGCATGAGCAGATAGTAGAGGAAGACTTAAAACTTTAAAGGAAAGGTTTCCAATTGCCAATTATTCAGAACTTGACCAAGACAGTTCAAAAGAGATGAGACAAGTTGAATGGGTTGTGTAACCCTCTACACACCCAAAAGATTTGTATTATATATCAAAAGATTACATAAAGGAGAAAGGACAATTGTGCCCTTCTAAGAAAAAGTAACATGCAAGAATAAAATATATGCACAATAAGGTACAAGGTAGTCCCAACCGGTCAGCCCATAGTATCTCTACAGATTTGGGATTCCATTCTCTTTTTGTCATAGCCAGCAGCCATGGTAGAACTAATTCTTGCTTCTTCTATTTTCTCTTCTTTATTTGCTTGTTAATAATTGTGGCAGGAGCCTATTGTTGTGTGTTAGAAAATTCCTGCTTGAAAGTCCATTTCAGTCTGCCCCTTAGCTCTTCTAGCCCCTTCAACTTGTAACAGATTACTTCTTCCAATGGGTTCTGTGGATGGTATTCTATGCATGTACCATACCACTCAGTCTAATCTATCCATTTTTATATTGGAACTACTCCTAGGTTCCTTCATACGATTTAATTCCTGATCCAATCCTTTCTAATTTTTCCACTCACCCATCCAATTTTAACAACTCAATAGCAGATTGAAATTCAGAATCTCTTAATTTAAGCAGATCAAATAAGCAGCAATAGAGGCTCATTTAAAACTTTTTTCTTTTGATTTCAAGGAAAGACAAGGTATTGAAAGTATGTAAAGATATTTTTAAGGAAAGTAAGAAGCATACACACCCAAATGAAATCATGTTGATGTAGAAAGAAAAGCAAATGAAATCTTTAGGGGGGAAAGAGTTTTACACATCTTCAATTTGCCAGATGACATTATTATTTTTTCCGAGGATTGTAGTGTAGTAGGAGACAGTAACGTACATCTTTAGATGCTTTGAGAGAATTTCAAACTTAAAAATCACTAGTTGAGAGAGTTGCTTAGCAGAAGTTAATATTTGAGAATCTTATAGGTAAATAAACTGATATAGGTTGTACCATAATGTAATTATTGATGAACTAATTTGGACTTCTAATGGTAATCTTAAAGCCCTTGCTTTCTGGAACCTGGTTTTTGATGGATTTTCTAAAAGACTTGTAACTTGTAAAAAGTTATTTATCTTTGGTTGGAAGAATAATCCTAATCAGGTTGATTGTTGCAAATTTGCACATTTATTACATGTTAGTTTTCAAAATTCCTTAGTTGTGTAAAGACTTGAGAGAATAATGAGAGGTTTTTTTGGGCACTGGGAGCTACTAGGGAAGATCACTTGAGAAAATGGGCTAATTTATGCGAGAGCAAAGTGCACGGTGCACATTCTGCTTCTACTTATGCTACATGTACCATGCACCAACTTGCTGACTTGTGAATGGTCTTCTCATCTATTAATTTAAATGATTAAATCTGATTCTAAGGAATTTCCTTTGTAGGTCCAGCTGCATTTCGTCCACGAGCACATGCTGCTTCTACTTATGCTCCATCAGTTGAGAAGGGACGTCCTGTCTTGCAGGGGCTTCTAGCTATTGATTTCTTAGCGAAGGAGGTAATAGAGTTAGAGAAATACAAGCATCTTTCAACATCAGACTTATAAATCCTTTGGTCTATTCTTCACCCCTCCCTGTCCCCATCCCGTAGTCAAGATATTTTACCCCATCACCGCCCGGTCCTTGGTGGCGGGGCAGGTTCAGGGTGGGGCATCCATTCCCCGTAGGGGACGGGGAATCCCCAAATTTTCCCTGCTCCAAGGCAACTACTTGAAAATTATCTATTTTGTGGACAATTTACACATGATATAGGAATTTGGGGGTATTTCAGGAATTGAATTATAATACTTTAGCGGTAATTCAAAAATGGAATTATGGGATCCTAGGATTTTCAGAATTTAGGGAAAACTTAGAGATATTTTAAATATCAATATTAAACCTAGAGATATTTTACTAATTTACCTTCGGGTTCGGGGAATTATATATGAAACCCGTCCCTGGTTCGGGAAAAAAATATTTTCCCCGTCCCGCCCTGTCCCTGTTTAGGGTCGGGGAACCCCCCCTCCATTTGGGGCGGGGCCCCGATTTTACGGGGGAAATTGCCATCTCTACCTAAGGGGCAGTTCTCAGTTTAGAAAAGAAAAAAAAAAGGTAGAAACAAGAAACAAGCAAGAATAGAAAGTAAGGGCCTGTTCGTTTCCTCTTAACTCTTATCTCTTAAAGAGGAATCTTTTAACTTTAAGAGAAATATGGTTGTTCGTTTCCTGTTACCTCATATCTCTTAAAGTGCAATCGTACAACTTTTTGTTTTCCACTGATACCCCCAAAAAAGACAAACAAAACTCTCATATATGGGGTCAAAATGGATATTTGATAATTTTCAAAATTCAGAATTCGGAATTCAGAACAACATTCTCTGCATTCAGAGTTCAGAGGAAAGAAAAGTTCACCAATACCAATATACCTCTTAAGGTAATTTTGCACTTTCAGATGTCAGACTTCAAAGCAAATGAACATGCCCTGAGACACTCCCTTAGGAGTTCTTGTTGTAAGTTTGGGCTATGGGAAATGGATAATGTATCTGTACCTAGATCTTTTACCAAAGCTACTGTAACTTATTCCTGAACTAGCTTATGCTATTTTTCTTAATGGCTATAACTATCTTTGTCGACAATTCTGAAGTACCCTGATGATATATTATCATTGATGTTAGGTGCTTGGTTGGGCACAAGCAATGCCTAAATATGCTGGAGATCTTGTGAAATATGTGCAAACATTCCTTGAGCGGACTTATGAAAGATGCCGAACATCATACACGGAGGCAAGTTATTTTATTTTCATCAATATTGTGGCAGTTTTGCTCCCATTTGTTTCCAATCTATTCTACACTGTTCCTCTGTCTGCTGATCTTAATTTGTTGCCCTTATTCACTATGGAGAATGAAACCAAGTTAATGAAAATGGTCGTTTTGAGGATTTTTTGGATATTTGTATAACTTTTCACAAATAAGGTATAATAGATCCATAAGATAGTGATTAACTGTCACAATCAACTAGAACTAAATATGTGTCTCTGCTAGTGTTCTATTAGTGTTGACACTATAAAGCAAAGTTTTAAAACGCGGAGGTATGATGCGAGCCCCCGGCCCACTTTCTTTCCCCTCATCTTTCCTTCTCTTTTCTTTTCTTTTCTTTATTTTTCTCTTTATTTTTCTTGTCTTTCATTCTTTTTCTTCTTTCTTTTTTCTTTTTTTTTTCTGTCTTTTTACATGAGGTGTGCATGAGGCGTATTCCTCTAGCATGCCTCATGAAAAAAACGTAAGAGGCGTACGCCCCTTGCACCTGAGGCGTATGCCTCAGAGGTGTCAGCGCCTCTGGCATAGGCCTCAGGGTGTTTTGGGGGAACCTCACCTGGAGGTGTGCTTCCAGGTGTACGCTTCCCATGCCTTTTAAAACACTGCTATAAAGATTTTAGAAGCATGTTATGTACTTGCTGCATAACTGTAAACTGGCATATGCCTCAGGGCGTTTTGGGGGCACCTCACCTGGAGGTGTGCTTCCAGGCATACGCCTCCCATGTCTTTTAAAACACTGCTATAAAGATTATAGAAGCAATTTATGTACTTGCTGCATAACTGTAAACAAACAACGATTAGTTGTTCACTACTTTTCCTGTTGAATCAAATGGTGCCTATTGATTCATTGTCTTCTGATCAATATCCAGGCTGTTCTTGAGAAGCAGAGTTATATGCTTATAGGGAGGCATGATATTGAAAACTTGATGTGGCTTGATCCATCTAGTGCATGCTTACCAAGTTCATTTGGTCAGCAAAGTATGGAATGTAGTGCTTCTGATGCTGAGACTGTTGAAGTTGAGGCAGAAATAAGTGATCTACTGTGGAGCTTGCGCCCAATCAAGCAGGTACACCTTATATGATATAAAGTTGTTACACTTGAGAATTAACCTGGTAAGCCATATATATTTTCAGTAAATTGGTAAGTCTCTTCTTAATGTGTAGTTGGATTATTTGAACTGTTGTTCTTGAGCTATGCATCTTTTCTGGATTTAAAACCCTTTCTTTTGTACATATAATTTTATGTTATACTTATGATCAATCTTTAATACAAGCTTTACTCAAGTATATTTCTGTTATTTCCAATGCTTCTTGTGTAGGAGAATCTAATCCGAGATGATAACAAACTCATTTTGCTGGCATCCCTTAGCGATTCGCTGGAATATGTAGCGGACTCTATTGAGAGGCAAGTGGTTGCATCCGCTAATGCCTAGTTCTTTTTTTTTTTTATTATGTCGGAGCTATCTTTAGTTAGATTTGTTCAGATTAAGCAAAATATATTTGCTAGTCAGTGTAGCTAATGTTTTTATAAGCAATAGAAAATTAGCAAAATGAGGTAATAATATAAGAGTACCCAAGTAAAGACCCTAATAACAATAACCTTGGTTATGTAACAGTGGAATACCCTCCACCTGTGTGGACTTGATGATGGTGATGATATTTATAGCTTCTTTATTTTATTTTATCTTATAGCCAACATTACCCAATCTTTCTGTGTTGCTTCTTCTGTCTTATTTCATACACCTTTTGAAGCCAATCTGCATACGCATTGCCTTGCCGCTCCTTTATGATAGACACTATTACATGAATCTATTTTGTTGTAAAGCATGACTAATATTTTATACCTTCAGAGTTTTATGCCCTCATTTTCCTATCAAAGGCAGAGATTCTACCTTCTTTTGTAGGTCTAAGAAAGTAAGAAGTTTCCTGTTATATTAGAAGCTTAAAATATCTACTTCATTCAGAGAGCAAGGCATGAGGAAACTTTTACATTATAATCTTCACATTGTTGTTAATAGCATACAGTATGCAATTCTTGTTTTGGATCAAAGACCATCCATTATTGGGGGTGTTCAGGGTTTATTAATGGTACAACTCAATAATTTAGGCTTGGGCAAGCATCCTTAAGGCCACCAGAAGAAGGAGAGGAGAACCCCAAGGATAAGACTCATCGGCATACACGCACTAGCAGTGCTCCTCCCCGGGATTTGGCATCATTTGCTGAAGAGTATAGGAAATTAGCAATTGACTGCCTTAAGGTTTTGCGTGTAGAGATGCAGTTGGAGACAATCTTTCATATGCAGGTATATAATATTCCTTAGTAGTTGATACGCATTTTTATGCTTTTCAAGTTAATATTTATGAGGTTAAGTCTCCCTGGAGTAATAGAAAATTTGAGTCACTTAATTCAAACAGGAAATCACTAGTAGGGAATACTTGGAGGATCAAGATGCAGAAGAGCCAGATGAATTTATTATTTCACTTACTGCACAGGTTAGATTACTTTCTTTTCATTTTTTTGCTTGTCCTTTACTTTTTTCGCAAAGCAATACAGTCTAGGTAGTTTCATGTGAATTTCCATACAGTTGATGTGAATTCTTATCTTTCTAATTACCGTGGGGTTTAAACAAAATCAAATCCTTTTCATGTCAGAAGACATTGAGGCTATTTTCACTTGGGAATAACTGTGAGAGTCACCCAAAAATTTTTCTCTGCATTCTGAAAATAATTAATATGTTGGTCATTCCTTCTTGATACATCTTAAAGAATGTGTTCTGAACCTGCGTGGTTGCTTTAGTCCTGGTTCTCTACTGACTCATGTTGTATTCCACTCTGTCTGTTGAACAGTCTTTGTGTATCTTTATGTGGTAACCATCAGAAGGATGGTTTTAGCAGTATTATGGAGAACAAAATGTACATTGATTGAGGTAGTGAGAAATGATCTGAGGGCCGACAGTTTCACACAGGATATGACCCCTGAATTTGATAGAGTTTACTGGAAAAGAGTATTCATATAGCCAATTCCGCACATTGGGTGATGACCATGGAACTATTCATAAACTTCTCCACGAATGACATTCTAAGAAACTGGACTGAAGTAGCACAAACAGATGTACCCGGGAAGGGCAGGTATAGTGGGTGTGATTAGAAACCATCTAGGTGAAGTTGTGGCACTCTTCTCAGGACCAATAGGTATTGGTGACTCAATACAGGCTGAATCTCTGGCTCTACTTCAAGGTTTAAAGATGGCTGAACAGATTGGAACAACAGATTTAGAAATAAAAGGAGACTCACTATTGGTCATTTCTTGGGCTAGAAACATCACATCAGCACCTTGGAAGCTCAAATTTATCTACAGAGAAATTGACATACTTGCAAGGAGGTTCAACTCTCAGTTTAGTTCATAGTTTTCAATGCGCCAAGGCGAGGCTGGGCGTCAAGGGGGCGCCTTGTCACCTAGTTGCCTAGGCGGGCGCCTAGGCATCCCCTAGGTGATGAGTTTTTATATAGAAAACATAGATCCTAGGGTAGTTCCCTAGGTACCATAGCTATATTTCCTTGATAATTATTCATAATTTTTATAAGAAAAGTATAGAGTTCATGTTAAAGTATAGAAAATCAACATATTCATGAGAAGAATAAAAAGAAGGAAAAGAAAATTCAAAAAATATAGGGGCTGAACCCTTGGTTTTGTTATAGGAAAAGAAGAAAAGAAAAAAATTTAAGTTGTAGTAGTAGTAGTAGTAGTAGTAGTAGTAGTACTGTAGTTGTAGTAGAAAATGTGTTGATTAGACAAAATTTTAAGTTCTTCCTTGTTGGTTCAGGTTTTAAAGCCTTTGAGGGTTCAATACAACATTTAGCAATGTTTGTATTGATTAAATCCTAACAAATAAGAAAATAATAAAAACAAATTAGTATATAAACACACAAAGTGCCTATTTTAGTTTAATAGTGCCTATTTTATAATTTTAATGTCAAAAAATAGAGAATAAAAAAGTATTTTACAATACATAGTACAAAACTGCTTGGCGAGCCTCAAAGGGTGCTTTGTCGCATAGGCATTGCGTTGACAACTTGGTTTGGTTGGGTCAAAAGGACTCCAAATGGGTTGGCGGTTACCCTAGCAAAACAGGGGGCAAATAGATCTACCTTGTACTGTGCAGAACTGTAACTGTTTGTATGTGTTTGTAGATTGGGTTAATGCATTACTGCAACCTATAACTATTGTAATTCATTATTTCTCTATTATTAGTAAAAGTCTTTTTTGTTGATCCAAAAAAAAAAATCTATACAGTTGGGATAAGGCCTTGTTAAGTTATGTTGTTTTTATAAGATGAGAAGGATGATGCACAATTATGTGAATTTATTTATCATCCAAAAGAAATCCATTGTAGCAATGCTTTACAAAAGCCATTGAGGTGTTTAAATGTAATCTGATCCAACTTAACATTGTCTGAACCCGGCTATCCTTTTACTGATGCCAACATATCTCACCATTAAGCAAAGTTGTCAGAATCAAGAGTGTTGGTGCTTATTTAAATGAGTGTTATTTCCATTTCTTTTCAACACAACTGTCAGTTTTTCCTTTAGGGGGCCATTGCTTGGTGCAATGGTAAAATCTCAGGCTGCTAAGTGTTAGAATACAAGTTCGAGTCTATGAACAGCCACTTATTTCAAAAAATGCCAAGGGTTAGGTTCTTATCTGATCTATCCCTTTTGACTCCCCGTCACCCTCAATGTCCAGTGCCAAGGTTGGGTAATGGTTCTTGTGTTTTATTATTTACTTGGGGGGGTGCTGGGTTCAAATCAATGAAGTATAATACAACTAAATGCATTACTCTAGAAATAACATGTATCTGAAATTAGACAAAATAGACGAAAAATCATGCAAACTATGCTCAAGTAAAACAATGCTTTTGAAGGTAGCTAGTCCAATAACTTTGGTATTTTGGGGGGAAATGTTTGGCAATATACCTTTGCTTGTCTGTCCATCACCTGGTTGTTTCCAAAATAACTATTTCAATCCTGATCACCCATTTACACCAATACAATCCCTGATCAAGACTAAGGAGGGGGAGTCTCCATTTAAATGAGTGGGGTAAACCAAGATCTGAAGGGATGAGTTATCCATGAAGGAATGAGAGATCCATCCTATGGATGCCCAAAGATTGCGGAATAAGGGGCGAATTTCAAAAATTTTTCTCTCCCTTCAATTGGGAATCGTATTCCCTATTTAGAAAATCATATTTTCAATGATCAATCTTGAACCATAAACTGAAC